TTATATTTTTGTTGAAATAAAATAGTTTTATGCTTCAATCAACTTCTGTCTCTATTTGATTATTAGTAAATAAATAAATTAATAATAATGATGCTGCATGTTATCAGCTTTTTTATTTTGATCACACACATTTTTCACTTGTTGAAACAGATTCATTTAATATCTTGGCTTAGAAATACTAGGATTAATAAGGAAAATGCAAAATAACTTGATGTTTAGCTTTGAGAAATGCAACACAAACACAAAAATGTATATGTGAATTAGTTATCTTTTGCTATCGCAGATAGCACAGACACATCCAGCCCCCACCTGGATACTACCATAAACACCCATCTTCAAAGCTAATTATCTATACTTGGCACTCTGAGATGAGGCAGTAACTGCCAGTCAATTCGAGTATCTTCTGAACAACTAACATACAGAGCATAATGTTTTGGTAGGACACCTAATTTTTCCTTCCCAATTGATGTTTCATAAATATGATTTATGTATGCACCACAAGCAAATTTTAATGACTCAAAATATTTTTTTGGTAAATACAGAATTTACCAAACCCACATGTTGCAAAAGATTCTAATGCTGACAGAGTAAACATGTTATTTTTCTCATGAAAAACAGACTGAGTTGTTGCCAGTAATGAAGTTTAAACCAAAACCACAGAACATTTGAATGAAAAATGGGCCACTACTGAGGAAACACTAAACCTTAAATATAATTTCACAATAAAATTCATTTACATACCAGCACAGAATATCCCTGGGACTTCACTCCTGATTATTATAGTCCGAACTTTCTTATCAGATTTTAAGGCATCCACAGCTTTTGATAACTAAACCAAAATAGGAAGAACAGGAAAGAAAAAGAAAAAAAGATCATTTTCAGATTGATATCAATACTATATCTTAAAATTAGAAGCAAACAGTTTAATCTTTATACTCACCATTTTTATAAGATTTTTACTAAGTGAATTTTTGCCATAAGCTCTGTTTATTCCAAGCACCACAATTCCTGGTTAAGGGAAGGGGGGGAAAAGCATAACACTTGAGTTAGTGAGATATTCAGAGAACACAGACTCTAGTTCACCTAGTTACCTTGGGACTTAACAAACCTACCATCTCCTTAAGGTTCCTGCAAGACTTTATTCATCTTTATTTTCATATTTAGTTTCCTTTATAAGATAAACAGTTTTTTATTTCCGGAATTTATTGAGGTATAATTGACAAATAAAGTGATATATATTTAAAATATACAACCAGATGTTTTGATATGTGTATACATGGTGAAATGCTTGCCCTTGTTAAGCTAATTAGCATAGTCATCAACTTATGCCTTTTTTAAATTTATTTTTACATTACAATCCTTAATACACCATTATACCATAATTTATCATATCTCTGATTATATATGTTGATACCAAATTCACATCTTCATACATGTATTTTGTATAACTATCATAGTTTTAAAAAACTGTTTATCTTGTATCTCATCATTATATAAGATAAACAGTTTTTTAACAAACTATGATAGTTAAAGAACTTATAAAATCAAACTAGAGCTTAATGTTCATTACTTTTAGGGAAGAACTTCATGACCCTTCAATTTATCTGTGTAAGCATCATCAAGATAAAATGTAACATTTTACTAAATTTTAAATCACTAAATCAGAAACACTAGAGAAGGTCACTTATTAGTGAACAATTGGATTATAAGACTGTACTTAAAATGTGGCTTCATCACTTCAAGCATACAGTACACAGAAATAACAGCTAACAAAACCTTGTCACATATAAAAATTACCTGATCTGTTTTTCTGCTGATATACCAGTTAACAGCTCACTAATGCTTTTTGTTATAATACATAATTCTCTTTATTTCAACCCCAGGCTTTTCTCCTGACTTCTGTCCCACACACTAAACCTGAGGGTATTTCTATTTTAAAAACCTAGGAGCAATTCAAATTCAATCTATATAAAACAGAGATCATCATCTTATAAAAATGGAGATCTCCCTCCTAACTCTCCTAATTCTATCAAAGACTACCACCTAAATACAGTCCCCCACTCCAACTGCAGCAGATCAATTTTCTAAAAGCAATTCTTATGCATAGAATTCATCTCTCCTTAAAATTTTTTAATAATTTATTTCAAACTACATGAATTCAAAGACCATAAATGGATAATCAAAATCCTATGCAACCTGTACTCAGCCTTCTTGTCTCCTAGTTAAGCACAAACTTGCACTATGTATCAGCCCTTCTACTGGGCTGCATACGGTCCTTAGTTTTAACTGAGTAAAATGAAGACAATGAAATGTACACATGTCTGTTCAAGAAACTGCAAAGCCGTTGTTTTAAGAATTCCAAATGATCTCAGTTGATGGAGAAAAACATGAGAACTGATATCTACGACAGGCTGTACTTTAAACACTGCGTGACCCTGAATAGGTCTCAACAGGAATGACAACGGCTCCACTAACTGAGCACATTAGTATGCACCCGCACTGCTCCAGTGCCTTATCCCTGCTAATTCACATAATCCTCACAATCCAAAAGGTAGGCACTACTTTTATTCTCAGTTAACAGATAAGGAAAGACTTGAAGAGGTTAAGAACCTTTAGCCAGTAAGGAGCAATCAAACTCCACACTTCAATGAGTATGGCTCACCATTCAAGCTTCAGTTTAGTAGCTAACTGTGAACACGAGATGTGTTCGTTAAACTATATTGAGTATGCATTTTGGTGCTCAGCCCTCAAGGAACTAGAGTCTAGGAGGGAAAGATAAACATTAATAATCAGCAGACTATTTAATCAAAATGTTGTATACAAGTGCTACTATAGATATGCTATATAGTAACATATCATGCCAGAACTGACATGGTCTGGGGACAAAGGGAGATGGCTAACAAAAGCTTACCCACTATTTGAGGTGAGCTGAGAAGAATGCATTAAGGTGGGAAGGCCGGAAGACGGCTGAATTCCAGGCAGAGGAAACACAGGAGAAGGCATAAATCAGTCCTGGTCCCATTTTTCCCCACAGGAAAAAGCACAAACCAGTAACAGTCCACAGAGAGAAGAATGGAGAAGAGAGTACAAGACTCAAGGTCTTCAATGAGGGACTCAATGTCCCTTCAAGTCCTGCTGAAAATCTGCCCTTTATCCTAAGAACAAGGAGTAACCTCTGGAGCAGATATACACACACCTACACACACACAAAAGGAGAAAGGGGATCAGCCAGAAGTGCACAGGATAGAAGCTCAAGGCACACTCTGTA